AATCGATAAACTAAATAAATGCATAAAAACAATTTAGTGTGTAATAAATGCACTACTGAATATTATCTGTTTTAATTACACAATTTCAAACAGTAATGTCAACATGAAGTAATAAATTTAATAGTTTATTTGGCTGTTAGAAATAAATCAAACAACTACACACAATGTGCTTGGATTGCAATATTCCTTTATGCTAAAATACATAAATGTTACTGTACAGTGCTTTACAAATGTATTATTGTAAGGTTTATGCCGCAGTGTTAAACATGCTCATAATTACCAAAATATATTATACTTCTATATTTGTTTATCCACCAGTGCAACATCTTTAATCAAAATTATATATTTTTAATGCTAAAATATAATAATTTTGTTATCCATTATTTTTCACATTTACTATTTTAGAAAATAGCTGAAAAAACCAGTAAAGCATGTTATTATTTTTCGATTAAGATGCCAAATGACAGTTATTTAGTGCGATTCTTGAACAGAAAAAATAGTTTTAGTGGTTGAATGACATATTTGATTAATTTCTGACTTCTTACAAATAAAAAATATAAAATAAAAATAGAAGTTTTTTTTGGTCTAAATATTTGTAAAGCAATATATTTGTATATTAGTGCAAATGTCTTCATGACTTTTCTGATTTTTTTTTTTTTTGCATGTTATACGTTTAATGTATCACATTTTCTACATATATATTTAATAAGAAGAAGGCTACATGTAAGTTCCCACATCTGCAGACAATAAAGCTATTAACTTTGCTCTGTTCTGTGTCAAACTTGCTAACTGGAAAGTTTCCCATCTTATATCAGTCCTCGAAATGAACACAGTGGCAATTAAAGAAGACTTTGAACCAGATCCAATGAACAGTGATATCAAAAAAACGACCTTTAACCTCGTCATTGTTGTGCTGTCAGCTGGCACTGGCTGAAAAGGTCACGGTAAAAGAAAACCAAAAATCATGTTTCTCTGATCATGTGATGGTGCTCGAGGCAGAGTGGCTGAAAGAATCCCATTTTAGTTAACAAACTCAAACACAAGTTCAGCAGAAGATCCAGAGAGGAAGCCGTGAGTCCAAACGTGTTTACTATTTCTGACCTGTGTCTGCACGTCTCCTTTCTGTGTGCGACGTGGAGCCAAAACGACACGCTCAGCAATAAAGTTACAACAACGCAGTCGGGAACTTCGGCCACGGGTCAGAATTCCTCTTGACATCTATGTGATTACATCAACAGCCCCCAAACTGTATAAATACTGGGAGACGAGCTCAGTCGTTCTCACAGACGTCACAGATCAGATCGCTGAGGTAAGATTACCGATCTGAAATCTTTAAAAGTCGAATTTCTTTTTGCAGTCCAAAATATTTGAATACTTATTAGATTCATTAATCAAATCAAATGAGAGTTAGATGATTTAGACAACAAAATGTTATGTATTTGTCAATAAAGGGTCTCTTGAATACGTTTTTTTTTAGTCTTTTGTAACTAAAATGTATTTGTACATCATATTCCAGGTGTCCTAATCTCTGGTCATCATGAGGGTGTTTGCAGTAATCCTTGCACTGGCGGTCTTCTCAAGTGAGTTTAGGGTCAAATAATAGAAAGAAAAGTGGATGCAAAGTAGAATACAGGAGTGAGAAGAAAATGAGGATGTAAGATGTAAGCTCCTGTTACATTTGGGGGCTTTTATTTTGCAAAAATGCGGCCTACACCAACTCAACTTTTAGTTACATACTGAATAAAACAAACTATGCATTCTGCAGCTTTTTTAGTCATCAGAGTTGTCCTTTAACAGTTAAATGCTGCCATAGGTCCCAGATTTGACAAATTAAAACATAATTTTAAAGCCTTATACTACAATTTGCATCTTTTGATCAAAGATGGAAAACCATTCAAAAGTGACCATTTGACATGTTTTCCTTTGTTCAAACCAGGCTGCCACGCACGAAGCTTGCTTCAGCAGGACTGGCAGGACAGCTGGGAAACCACAGTCGACAAGTTTAGGGATTACATCACGGACCTGAACTCAAAGGCTGATGTAGTGGTGAAGGACATCAAGAGCTCCCAGATCAGCAGGGAACTGGAGTGAGTTCGATTATTCCTGTAATCGTAGTCGAGCATACTGACTTTTATCAGTGCTGCTCGGCTGTCGGCTGCATTTGAATCACTAAAATTGTGATTAAAAATTGAATCCAGCTCATAGATTTTTATCCTTTATTAATATAAAACAGTAACATGCATAAATTGTTTCAGTCAGTGTCTCAGTTCAGCAGCCAACCATTAATTTCAATATTTTTGTTCAAGTTTAAGTTCACAGAAATTTTCACTTCATAAATTAAATACAAATTGCTTCTATTTAGTTACTAAAGTTTAACTCCACGACTTAGAAACACTGAATTTACAACAGAAACACTCTTAACAAAATGGTGCTGGGCCTTGGCTTTGTTATATAACAGCAGAGTGTCAGAGTCTGATCAGCAGGTTGCAGTGAGGTGAGACATTTTGAGAGCTGAACTTTGACCCGTGCGTCTCCTGAGTTTTGCTTTAGTCCTACAGTTTACCGAATCTTTCTCAGTGTTTCAATTAAAATCTGCTGATATTTCTACTTATCTTAAATGATTCAGTGCTTTACCCCCTTTGGATCCTGAATGCATCAAAACCACAGACAAAACCTCTAAACCGATCCATCTCCTCTCCCGTCCATGAACAGCACCCTGATCCAGGACAGCATGGCCGAGCTGGCCATGTACAAGGATGACCTGCAGACCAAGCTGGCTCCCTACACTCAAGAAGCCGCAGATCGTCTGGGCAAAGACCTGCAGCTCATGGTCGACAAACTCCGTGAACACATGACTGAGGCCCGAGAGCAGATGGACAAGTACGTCCAGGAGCTTCAGACCATGATGGAGCAGAACACCGACGACGTCAGGAGCAGAATTGCCACCTACACCCGTAAAATGAAGAAGCGCCTCAGCAAGGACACACAGGAGATCAAGAGGTGAGTGGGACAACCTCACCAGAAAAATAACAACATTTGGGGGGTTTTAACAGTGTAGAAAAACAAAGGAACAGATAGTGAGTGGATTATTCAGGTGAAATCACCCAAACTCAGCTCAGATATTAGGATTTGATGCTTTTTAGCTGGTGAATTTAAAATGTAAGAAACATTTTGGTGTGAAAGAAGGAAAGAATTTGAGCTTGGTGGGAACTTTTACCACTTTTTTGTCTATTTTTCAGTTTGACTTAATGTCTTAATGATTAAGCTATTAATAAGCATATAAATATAAACATGTATTTTTCAGACACGTCACAGAGTATTTCGAGGAGCTTCAGTCCCGCACCTCTGAGAACGTGGAGGACCTGAAGACTAGACTGGACCCTTACTTTGCTCAGGTGCGAGACAACGCCCAGACAAAGATCACCACCCTGAAGGACCTGCTGACGTCTCAGATGGAGAACATGAAGCTCAAGATTCAGAATACAGCTGAGGACATCAAAGATCGCCTTGAGGACACCACTGACAACCTGCGATCCACCCTGAAGGGGAAGATGCAGGATGTGCGCGACATTTTTCAGTCCTTTGTGTCCTATTTCAGTGGAAGCCAGTAAACCCTACAACTAGCCTGGACTGCTCATTTATCCATCGCTTCATAAGTTAAAACCCTAATTCAACAGTTTAAAGTCATCAAATGTGTTTGTTCGACCACTCCCTGTGACTTTAATAAAAACCAGCTGCTCACATTTGAGTTCTCTGTAATGTCTTCAGACAGCTCATTTGCAGTCATCTCTCACATTCAAACACCTGATTTAAAAGAGTTACACTTTGATGACATGAACATCCTGAAAACAAGACAAAGACTACTTCCTGCAGAGCATATGGACACTGGAAAATAAATAACTTTGTGTTTGAAAGTTATTTTTGCCTTTGACTGCTACGCTTTGTTAAAAGCGACATATAAATTGCACAGAACATTTTCCTACACATCAAATGGTATGCCATCATAAGCATATTAAAGATTCTACAGTAGAAAATATACCTTTTTTAAAATCCCATTATTATGATAACTAAAACCTGAAATTTAAACTTGAATAATATCTTAGTTAACCGAAGTAAAAATAAAAACTGCACTTCTGAAAGAAAAACGGGATCTTGAATTGTTTTGTGTGCTCATAAAATAAACCAAAAGACAAAACATATACAAATAATTAGTTTTAATTATTAGTTTTGCCTTTAGTGTATTTGCTTGCTTAGAATTCTGATGTCTACCGGACAGTGATTCAGCTGTCTTCAAAAAGGGTTTGTTTTAAATGTGCGTTCTCATCTAAGTTTTTGTACCTGGCCATGTTTTTATAAAAAAGAAACTAAATCAAGCAAATCCATTCAGGAAACTCATTGAAACTAAACTTCTTTAAAATAAATAAATTTAAAAAACAAAACGTAAAAATAAAAACCTGATTAGGAAATATAAATAACTGATCGTCACTTTAAGTTCAGGGAGCGTGGATATTTGAATAATTATCTGAAAGGTTCTGCATCAGCTGTACACAAACACAAAGTACTTCGGGTAAACCTTCTACAAACTTATGTCATACATTTAAAAACAAAACACAAAACAAAACAATTAAACTTTAACCAGAAAGTTAGTTGTTTGACTGAAGTCAGAAGTGGCAGAGGAATTTCTGAGGCTGGTGCACCTATCATATAATTTCTCTACATCCTCTACTTTTATACTTGTCCATCAAATCATTCTCAAAGCAAACATCACATTACCTAAAAATGTATATAAACATATTTATTACTCATAACTCATATTATTGTGTTCACTATTGCATTATTTTAGAAAGCCTGAGTTTTAATATAAATATTTGTCACATACTCTTTGAGTGTTTGAAACAGTCTAATAAACAATCAAACACGCAGTCCTGTAGTACTGGATGGTTGGACCCCACGTGAATATAAGGCACAGTGAAACCAAACTATCATACTGACGTCGCTGATCCATCCAATCACATTTCGTCTTACTCTCCTGTCAGCCAATGGCTTGCAGCCGTCGCCGCTGCTAGCTCGTCTCCTCTCAGTGCCGTCAATTCTAAACATGCCCATCATGCTCGTAGTTGTGGGCTTTATCTTCTGTCTTGCGTGTTGATTTTCGTCACGATGAGCAGCCTCTGCAGAGAGGTGATCACCCTCCAGCTCGGACATTACTCCAACTTTGCGGGAACTCACTGGTGGAATTTACAGGTGAGGAGTGCGCGTGCAAGGCTAACGTTAGGCTAGCTGGCTAACGTTAGCTGTGCATGTGTTGTCAAACTTGTGAGCTTGCTGTGAACCGTTAGCTCTGGTTAGTCTCAGTTTGACAGACTGGGACACGAAGTATGGTCAAACTGACCAGCATGGCATTGACCATAAACAGAGGCATAACCGCCAACAGTTGTGTGGCTAAAGCTGCTGAATTAGCAGGTTAGCAAACTGTTACGAGCTTTTCATAAAAAACACTCAGAACTGTTACCTGAGCATTTAGGTCCATAATTTGTTGGTCCAAGATTTAAAGCAAATATTATTATATATAGTCTCCCCATTTTCAAAGGCTCTAGCTCAATTAAAAAGTTTTCGTATTTCAAAACATAAGGTTTATTTTTAATAAATGGATAAAGATCCAAAATTGGACCTCATCAAATGTGTTGTTCTCCCCATCTCCTTTTAGGTGCTCTATATCAAGCTATTCCTTTAGCCACCCTCAGTTGCTGCTTGTTTGTCGGTCTCTCTGCTTTTTTTTTGTCTTCAGTAGCTAAAAAATAAAAATGCTGACTTGGGTTGAAATCAGGTGTCTGACTTGGTCATGGAGGAATACTTAAGGTTGCTTTTGCAGGATGATTTGGGGTCATTATTCTTTTACACTGTGAAGTGCTGTCTAATAAATTTTCCAGCTTTTGGCTCAACTGAGCAGAAAGTACAGGCCTGTACACATCAGCATCCATCCTGTTACTTTCGTCAAGTCACATCATTAGCGAACACTCATGACCTGGTTCCACTGTCAGCCATATGTGCCCATGCAACAACACTGCCTCTCCCATGTTTGACAGATACTGTGGTATGCTTGGGATGACAATCAGTTACTTTTCTCTTCCAGTGTTCTGGTTCAAGTTGATCTAGGTTTCATCTGTGCAAAGATTTCTTCATTTTTTTCCCCCCAGATTTGTGCTCTTTTAAATGTTTTCTGGTGAAGTCTAAACTGGTGTTCTTGTTCGACCATGTAATCAGTGGGTTGCACCTTACTGTCAACTTGTTGTATATACATTCATGAACGGAACTGTTGATTGTTAACAATGATACGTTTACTTTGTGAATTTCTGTAAGCATTGTTCGATCTCTTTGACCGTGCTAGCAGATAAACAGAGGTGCTCCTCTCTTTGTTTGCAGGATGCATCTTTATCATACGATCCGGAGTCACCGCCAGGTGAGATCCAGAGCGATGTCGTGTTTCGTGAAGGACAGACTCTGGGCGGCCACGTCACCTACACACCACGACTCATTGCCATGGATCTCAAAGGTAACTTGCTTTTAGAAATACTGGAAACTTTGTGTCTTTACTTTGTCCAGTTTACTGACTGAAATATAATATGTTAGCATTGATTTAGAGCACTTGTTACAAAGTTGTTGTTTTGGTTTTTTTTTTTGGTGAATTCTGACCGTCTTTCTCTCATTCTGTAACAGGAAGTCTTCGTACTCTGCGACAGGAGGGAAGTTTGTACGATGCAGGCAAGGACACGTCTGCTGTCACATGGTAAACAAGACCCTTTCTATTTGTTTTCTGCCTGGTATAACAAATTTTATTTGTGTTGTTTTCTGGTTTCAACACTGTCACATGTTTTGTTTTTTTTGTTTTTTGGTCTGTTTATTTGTTTACATATGGATATTTATCTACATTTAAATCTATTTATCTATAGGGCAAATCAAATCCTATAGCATATCCCTTTTTTACCCTGTGGTGATAAAAGGAATGAGTATTTGTAGTCACCCCATTGGGCAGGTGGTATGGACACTTTGTGAATACGATGACATGAAAATGAGCCAATGTAGGACTTTGTAATTGATACCATAGGTGAATCTGCTAGGAGGCTAAGGGGTTGCACTGACAGTCGCCATTATTCTTAACTAATCCATTTATTACATGCACTGGTCCTAAGACTGTTCATATTTAGTGTATATACTTTTTTTCTTTTAATTTGGCAGGGATGGAAGTATCACTATGCACGAAGAAAGTCCTCCTGCAAAGAACTCCTTCCTTGAAGACCTTGATAAGTTGGATGTGAGTATTTCAAGTAGAAATGAAAACTAACACAAAGAGATTTTCACAACAAACACACACATTGCAGTTATAGTCGGGTCGAAGCGTGTCATGCCCTGGACTGCTTGAAGGGACTCTCATACATGCGTGTCATCATCACTGACTGCGACCAGGTTACAGATCACCGTTGCTTTCTCTCTTTGTAAAAATCCCTATAAGTAAGTAATAAATAAGGACGCACTGCTGTGTGTCATAGCTTCCCAAATTAATCCACAGAATGCAATAAGTGATGAAACTGGCTGTGTGAGAGCAAATTTCCAGGAAAAAAAATTGCTCAATAGAGACGTCTCCAAAGAGCCCGTCATTCTGTTCTTTGTGTCTAGAAAGGGGAGATACTCGCAGAGGCTGATTTTCCCTCCAGCTCCCAGCCTCAGTGCTCAGGTATGAAAACCTCTCAACCAAACGTGCATGAAATAACAAGTTTCTGTACCAAAATCATCACATGAGCTTAAAAAAAAAAAAACAATCTCTCCCAGCAGCAAGGTCACTGAGTGTGGATACAGTGAACAGCCACCTGGCTAGAGTACAGAAGAGCTACAGGCTGGAGTGCAGCGTGAAGGTGTGGTCTGACTTCCTCAGGATCCACCTGCACCCTCGGACCATCTCGGTCATCCACCAGTACAACCACGATGGGTAAGGCGGGTGCAACATTACCTGTAGTTTGTTGATGCGTCTTACTTTGAACCTCTAAAGGAGTCAGAGCCATAACTTCAACATAAAAACTGCAGGTGCAGAATTTCCTGTCACATCTCATCGAAACAGCTTAAAATGTTTGGGAAATGTTCCCAATATTTTCCAAACCTCATTATGCAAACTGTTGTATGTTGTCATCAAAGAAGTTTTTCCAGATCGAGATTATTATGACACAGAAAACATTTTAAAAATGAGTCTGTTGCCCAAAACACAGTGCAGGATTTTGAGGAATATGTTAGTTTGTACTCACATAAAATCGTCTTATTTTAAGATGAACAAACCTGACTAAATGTATGAAACACAAATTGACAGACAGAAACAAGCAATTCAGTTATGACAGCTTAACCATTTATAACTTCCCATATTAGACCACAAAATAAGAGTGGAAGGCCCTCACCTGCGTTTCACCACTAGATGTCAGCCTTCCCTCACAATCAGGATTAAAACTGACTGTTCTCTGTGGGTCAGTATGGAAGAAAAGGCAGAAAATGTATAAACAAGTTTATTATACAACTTCACGTATCCAAGCTGTCATTTTTTGTTTTATTAAAGTAATTAGACGAAACCTGAATACTTTAGAATAAAATTAAAGAACATTCAGTTAGTTTTCTAAATTAATTCTATTCTTAAATTGGTTGACAGAATGAAATAAAGCATTAAATTAAATCTAAAACATACCCACAACTGCTTCTCCACCACACTTAAAAAGGCTTCTTGAGACTTGCTGACTTACAGTTATGAGGTATTTAAACTGAGTGCTTTATATTTGCTTTTATGGGCGTTCAGAGAGGCTCACCGTCTGGAGGCTTTCGGCCAGGGCGAGTCTCTCCTCCAGGGGTCGGTGCTCGAGGAGCTGGAGGACAGGCTGCACTTCTTTGTGGAGGAGTGCGATTACCTTCAGGTACCTCTTCCATTTCACTCTCCCCTATAATTAGAAATATTTTTTTGTACTGTAAGACCTTTAAAAAGATGCTAATCAAAGTTTACTTGTACACCATTTCGTATCTGCCATCTTCTTGCATATCTCTTTGTGCTTCCTCAATCCTTTTTTTCCTTTCAGGGCTTCCAGGTGCTGTGCGACTTGGCTGATGGCTTTGCAGGTCTGGGGTCGAAGGTCACTGAGCTGCTTCACGACTCTTACGGAGGAAGGGGCATCCTAACCTGGGGGTTGTTACCCGTCAGTCACCCAGATTCAGTGAGTGTCTCTTTCTTTAAAAGCAAATGTTTTGTAACGCGGCTTCTTTATTTATATGTGTTGTCTCTGTTTGAACAGACGCCAGTGAAGGATCTCTACCGCCTGCTGAACTGCACTTTAGGGATGGTACACATGGCCAGTCACAGTTCTTTGTTCTGCCCGTTGACCTTGCGAGGTGGTCTGGGAAGACGACCGTCCTCTCCCACTATGTTCACCCACCTCAGTTATGATGTGAGACTGGCTGCAGTACTATTATTGTGTCCTTTGGTCAACAAGCAATTATTTTAAGACCTTGTACCGACTTATTTTATGTTCTATCCAAATGTAAGCACTCAAACTTTAAACTTTGGCACAGCTCTGATTAAAGAGATAATTCAACTCATAGAAACACAGTTTACATGTGCAGGTATGCAGGATTATATTTAAACATGTATCTGTCTGTCTTCTGTGCCAGCCCTCACTGTGGTACCACTCCAGTTCTGTCCTGGCTTTGGCATTGGACACCCTTACTGCACCTTACAGGCTGAGGAACAACAGCGTCCCCATGTGGCAGTTGGCAGATGACCTGGCTGTATCAGGGAGGAAGGTATTTAACAATTGTTTGTTTATTTGTTTTTTTTTTCTCCCCCTTCAGCAAATATTATTTTTATTTTTTTAATCAAGTCATGAAAGGAACTAGCTCGAAGCTCTATAGGTATATAAAGGACATGAAGTCTCACAAGCTAGCTGGATGTTGCAGCTAGGTTATTTATCTGTGGAGATGCCTGAGATTATGGTAACCAATGTTTAAATCACAGGTCGTGGCTGCTTATGGTGCCGTCCCCTTTCCCATGATGCACGGCTCCTCTCTCCCTGACGCCCTGAGCACATACACCGACGTACTGCCGTGGAGGCCTCTGTCTGGGTGCGCTGAAGCAGGAGACGGCCGATGCTACGGCCAGTGGGCGACGCTCAAAGGCTTCGAAGGCCAGAAACTCATCAGGTCAGAATGAAGTTATTGAGTCAGTTATATTCTACTCTGACTCTTTAGTTTAAGTTTGCTTCTGCCCCTACGAAATTACCACTGACCTTCTTCATCTATGATAGCTGGTGTGTGATAGACCCCAGCCTCAGAGCTTGTTCCTGTGCTGCATTGATTAGTGCCTTTCTCCACTGTGGTGGATATCTCCCCCCTGAACGTTGTCCTGGGTCCCCCTTGCCGTAGCATTCATATTTATCTCTCTCCCTCATGTCCAACTCTTCATACTGGAGGCTTATTTAGCATAAGGGGTCTAGCCTAGGACCCTTACTGGATACAGACGCCTCAGCAGGGTACCTGATAACAGGTGTTGTCCAGCTCTTCATACTGGAAACCCGTTCTTGGATGTCTGCCACTGTGATGGTTACTGGACCCTCTTCGGGGAGGTTGCTCTGGTGTCTTTATGCTAATGACTTTAGGTTAAACTTCAGCTAAGGTTGTGAATGACAGTTTTGTCAACATTTATGAATAAACAACTTGTAGCAACATGCTTTCCCCCCCCCCTCCCCCCCTTTAATTCTCTTTTCACCAGCTCGCTGGCTGCAGGAACTAAACCGCCCACTCCTCTGCACAGTCTCCACAGCGGAGAGGACGTCCTGGCTTCCTACATCAGATCCTTCTATCCTTCAGCTCCTCTGTGAGTCTCTGCACTGACATGTGACACTTGCTATTTCTTTTTTTTTTTTTTCCTAACAAATTCTCATCTCTCACCCTTGCTCTCTCCATCATCTTGTCATCCCTGTCTCAGGGCTCTGCAGCTGGTTTCTACTCCCAGTGAGCTGGCCCCACCTTTCCCGCAGATATTCAGTCAATCCCTCGGTGCTCAGGGCTTCCTGGAGGGCCAGCCGCCCCCGCCTGGCAGTGAGTGTTTTTCTGTTTTTGTCTGTGTGTAACGCAGAGCCGTTCTATTACATGTTTTCATGAATGATCTTTCTCTGCAGGTACGCCCCGTGTCGTCTCCTCCGTACCCGTCATGACTTCCCTCCAGTCGGGTCCTGCGCTCGACCCCTGGCTATCCGAGCTGCATCGCGGTGTGAGTGCTTTCGACATCCGCCGTGTTGCCCCCAGCTTCCTTTCTCAAGGGCCTGAAGTGTTAGACTACCAGGAGGCCCTGGAGCAGCTGCGCCTGCTGGCCCGGTGTTACAGAGACGACAGCAGAGGCGTGATGCGCTCTTCCTCCGAGGAAGAGGACGATGACTGAAGTTGGCTAGCACGACTTGTATCTGCCTGCTTTGTTTACCAGCCTGCATGCTGTCAGCCTGATGCAGGGAGATAGAGGAGCTGTGCTCTGCTGTGTGAAAGGATGAGGACTGAAGTACTGGGTGACAGAAAAGAGGAAGTTCTGCCCATGTAGTTTGTAATTCAATGACTGTTCATATGTAATTAAAAGTATTTTATACAAAATGCACATCATAGGACTGTATTTACATAAAGACGTAGCTTTCACCACAGGTTGCATGGATTGTAGCATTCACAGCTCTCAGAGCAAAGAAAGGGACTCTTTGTTTGTTTGTTTGTTTGTTTGTTTGTTTGTTTGTTTGTTTGTTTGTTTGTTTGTTTTCTGTGGCCTCAAATGAACAGTAAACTGTTGAACATGCTTTGGGGTTTTTGTAATTTCTCCAAAGCAGAATCAACTAATTTGGGGTTTAATGGGACATTTAGTATCCTCGGCCAAGTCTGCCTGTTTGTGCTGCAAACCTTTCATAGAACATCATAAAAAATTAAAAATTCCCCTTCAAAGGAAAACATAAGACCAAGGAAATAATGAATGCATTCACACTGGGTGCCTTAATCACATGACAGCAGATGTTGATGTGAGTCTTCTGTGTTAAAACCACAATTTGCTTAAGATGGGATTACAAAAAGCACTTAGACACTTGTTTAATGCATTTCATGACAAAAATATAAATTGCCATGGTTGTAATAACATTTAAAAATGGAATAAAGAGCCTATAAAGTTAAATATTTGTAATGCTTATCATCTGGTTCATGCTGGATCAATAATCCAGCGCACGTCCTGCCTTTAATAAAGCTTTCTGTGATTTAGGTCAAACTAAAGTATTAAAAAATGTAAATGACTAATATGGACTGAATTGTGGTGAAACTTAAGTTATTTAATAAAGTTTAATCTTTATAGAAAAATATTTTCTCCACACCAGAACTTGATAAGAAAGGTTTATTGCTGCTGTTGTGTGATCTTTCTTTCCAGGATAAACAGCTCTGGTCCAATTCAAGTTAGATTTAATGATTCAAGCAGTTCAAAGAATAATACATGGATCTCCCTCTGGTTAGAAAACCAGTCAGCAGCAGTCTGCTGTAGCCAACTCCTGGGAGAGAGATTTATAAAGAGAATGTGCGTTTATCTGATTGGTCAAAACTATTGAGAAGCGGCCGTTGTTTACGTAGCCAAGTTCTGCTCTTCCTCTCCTCCATCAGCTGCAGCTTCACATTGGGATGGACCGATACACCTGCCTCCCTCCCTCTAACCTGTTATCTCGTTTTCTGCATCTGAGGCAACATCTGTGAGGGCTTTTGTTTTTTGACCTTGCTCTGGTTCACGCACACAGCCTTCTGCCACACATGCACAAGCAACTTGATCATGGGAATCTATAACTTTTGTTTTGAGTGCTCAGTAGTGCAAATAACTATTAAACTGATCTAAAATTAATTACAGTCCCCATACCATTTGGCAGCACAGGTCTTGTAAACCAAACCCTTCTAGTCCTCACACTGCAACGTTGAGAATCTGTCACTGAACATATCCAAACTTTATGCCATAAAATGGAAAATATTCTCATGATTGAGTCACCTCAGTTTTTCCTTCTATGAACTCTGATAATTCTTAGTGTATTCTCAAACACTCTTTCCTGTGTGCGAAGAGTATTTATTTAGCCAGCTCCTGTTATGGCTCACATGGCTCACACATTGGAAACCTAAGGAAAACTGACTTGACCAATTCTGCCAGCAGCTATAGTTTAACTCAGGGATGTCAGCCAAAGGGTAGACGGAGTGGATGGCTTTGTAAGATGTGAAACACACAAAGTAAAAATTGGGACTTTCATGTTTTCTTCTTCTCACATTATGGATAAAATCAGAGCCCGAGGACTAAATTGTTGTTCCAGCGATCTTACTGACAAATTACAGTTCTACCTTCAAAGTAAGTCTTAGACAAACGATTAAATATTAAGTGTATCGTGAATCATGTCATCCAAGGAACCACGGTAACAGGGTTTTTTGATTTATCCTACTTAAATTTCTGTCACATGGAAAACAGGTGGCTTGAATCAGTTTTATAAATTTAAATGTAATATTAAGCTTGGCGTGAATAAAAATGTACCCACTAATTGTTTATTAGACAAAAATGTGTAATCAGCCGAGTTTGAGGGGAATTTACCAAGTTATGAAACTGAAGCTAGCCAGCAGTCAAACCTGCCTTTTACTTTACAAAAAACATCTTTGGCTTTTTTAAACAGATAAAACTGCTTTATGAGTTGTTGTTGTTTTTTTTTAATTAATCCTATGTTAACATAGGATAACAAAACAAAAAAACCCAAAAACATTTTCTAAAAACTGTTCCAACTGTTTTCTGAGCAAACAAAGAAACAAACTCACCCCAGTGATATTTACACAATCATGCAAAAAAAATAAAAAATAAAAGAGCCAACCTGCTTCCCTCACACACCGAATTTATTACCAACATAAACATGACTAACAAGTCCAGAACAAGCTTTTTTTTTTTTTTTAATGTGAAACAAAGATTACAAGGATTTCACAAAAGTGGGGAAGGTGTTCCCAACCAGCATATCGACAAAAACAGTATGCTTCTACATTTGATTAAAAAAGGCTAAGACAAATACCATACCTTCGCTTGAACTTATAAAACTGACATTGCACCCTGTTGTTATTGTTACAAACACCACTAATGAAAACGTATGTTGGTAAAGGGCAAATGAAATGGAGTAGCATGTGCATAAGAGACATCGAGCATGAGCGCCTGGTATTCTACAGCTACTTATCAAAAAACAGGAGGTGAGGATAGTGTTGTCGGGCACGGGGAATGTAAATGGAGGGCAGGAGGGAGACACTGGGAGGAGGGCTTGTGACAAACAGTCCAAAATCTGAACTAAGAGCGGGAACGGGAACGAGAACGAGACTGGGAGCGGGATTTAGAGCGGGACTCCGATCTGGAGGCGGAGCGGGAACGGGAGCGGGCTTTGGCAGGTGAGGGGGAACGGGATTTGGACTTTGATTTAGACCTGGCTCTGGATTTGGACTCCTCAGGAGACTGAGAATGGGAACGAGAACGAGAGCGTGAGCCTCGCTCAGGCTCGCCGCCCTCGTCATCGCTCTTGGGCTCCTCCCGGCCCTTTGAGACAGATTTCCTTGACTGATCTTTAGCTCCAGATGCAGAACGAGATCTAGAGCGAGACCTGGAGCGAGAACGAGAGCGAGACCTGGACCTGGACTCCCCCTTCTTGCCCTTTTTCCCTTCTTTCTTGCTCTTTTTACTCTTGGGGCTGCGGCTCCGGCTGCGATCCTTGTTCTTCTGAGCGCCGTTGCTGCGCTCCTCCTCCTCCTTCTTGCCCTTTCCCTTATTCTTCTTGCTACGAGATCGGCTGCGGGAGCGAGAAGCAGCTCTGTGGACAAAAGACAAACCAAGTCTTATTGCACCAACCCATCCACCAAAATTCTCATTAACATAAAGCACTGAACAGCTGGGTAAAATTACTAGAATTTTAAGGGTTTTTCTAAGGTCTGTTTTCTCCGTTTCGATGTTCTGCAACACAAAAATGGAATGATTGTGAGCTGCTTTAAAAGAATCTGAGACATAATTTAAACAGAAATTTCTACATCCTGTCTGAAGACAGTAAAGAGAAAGTACGTAGTCGTCATGCTTTTTAAAGGCCACCAAACAAAAATAAATAAATAAAAGACTTCTTGCCCTATAGAAGTCTACAGTAAGACAGCCCTCAGCGCTAACCTCAGTAAACACTTATGATCAATTTATGCGCTCAGTCATATTTAGTAACTAAGAATCAGAAATCACAAAGGAGGATTATTCAGGATCTGCTCATCCTTTGTTATTGTTAATGACAGAGGATTAGCCAGGCAGCATGCAGTCCTAATTGCAGTTGCAGTCCTGAAAACGCTCCGTTTGCAGTTAAGCACGACTTTACAAACCAATGCGCGATGTCATCGTCTTATGACAAAGACTGAAGGTTTGACCTGAAGATTTATTTACATTTTTGTACATGTATTATTAAACCCATTATGCATTTCCTTATTTTTATATATACACCCACGATTTCAGTAACGGGTGGTCATATTTAAACAAAGTCTGTATTAATGAAGTCAGGATAGAAGTAAACGCAACCCCTTATTTTCAGCTAGCTTTCCTCTACAGTGAGAACGAGAGATCTATCCTAATATGGCAATCTCAGTCTCACGGCTCTGGCTGGAGCTATAACGGCTTCTTACAGACAGGATGAAGTAATAAGTCACAACAAAGAGGATAAGAAAGAAAGATAAGAAAACTTTGATTTGAATCATGCAAAGTAACTCTAGTAGAGTCTACGAATATGAAAGCTATAAATGAGCGTAACACGTTTCCTGTAACATACTTATAAAAACAACTGAACTGGATACAAAGTCTCAAGCTGTCTCAAGGCAGCTAGTGAGAGGACAAATCGATCGAACATCTATCAGTTTCTGGACAAAACAGCAAAATAAAGTTTTTCTCACCTGGAGCGGGAGCGGCTGCGACTGCTGCTCTCACTGCGGCTGCGGCTCTTACGAGACCTGCGGCTCCTGGAGCGAGACCTGACAAAATATTATACCATTTATCGATCTTGGATCCGACTGCAGCAGCATGCAATTCCTAATATAATACCAGACAACAGTGCCTTTTTTACCTGGAACGGCTGCGGCTACGAGAATACGAGCGGCGGCGCCTGGCACCAGGACGGTCCTCAATGAGCCGGATCTTTCTGCCGTTCACCTCTGTGCCGTCGAGCTTCTCCAGGGCCCTCTTCATATCAGAGTAGAGCCTGAACTCGATCACCCCCTCATTCTTCCGGCCCTTGTGGGTGTCAGCGTAAGTCACTTCACCCGCCTGCCTCATGTAGTCCTACCAAGGAGAGGAAACAGATGAAATCATGAGAATGTGTCCACTGGAGGCTCTGACCAAACTGCATGTAAATATTTTACATAAAATCCATGAGAGCTTCTGAATCATGGATTCATATTACATCTTCCCTTATGGACAACCTGATCAGAATGGGTGTGTTGTGCTTTATGAATGTTTATATAATCATGTGGCCACAATAAAAACAAAAATTAAAATCTAATGCAACGTTCTTAAAGTTGGGTAAAATAAGGGGAAAAAAAAAAAAAAAAAAAAAAGAAAAAGACGGGGAAAATCTCACTGTGGGAAATGTTAAAACGCTGAAATAAAGGTTCACTTCAAAAAAAATTTTTTTAAATCAGGACTGTAAGCCTTACTTCCTTCACAATAAGTATTTAATATGAGAGAGGAGGGTGAATTAAGCAAAAACATACCTTTAAGTCTTGCCAGCTACAGCGGCTGGAAAGATTCTCAACAATAAGCCGATAATCTGTCCGTATAGGTGGACCATATCTGTCTCTTCCTCCCCAGCGTCCATATCCACCTTTCAGGGTAACAAGGAAACAGAAGGAACAATGAGGACTGGAAAGCAACCGAGATGGTGCAGTCATACTAAACTTCCAGCTACACACTATTAAAATATATCAATAATCTCTTGGGAAAGGAAACAAAATAGGGAAAAAGCAAAAAGGCTGAAAAAAAGAGAAAAAGCTATTAATTCCTAAAAAGACCCTAATTATTTCTTTCTATTAGTCTTTCTTTAAATTTTTAAGCCAACAAGAAAAAAAAACCCTATGGATATTAAATTTTGGTTGATGCTCAACAGGCCTATTTTAATAAGAAAAAAGAAAAGAAAAAAGCAATAAAAATCAAATTAATAACTGAAGGAGGAAGTACTTACGTTGAACTAAATCAAGTGTCTAATCTATCCTATCTAAAAACATTTCACTGATACAAAACATGTTGTTTTTTTTCAGGCACCTATAAGAGCTGAACCCACATCTGTTCCTAACCCCATGGCATCCTCACCACCCGGCCTGGGCCTAATGGGAAAAGCGGTCTTCATTCACAATGGCTCCCTTTTTTGGTCTGCCCAGGGGCCCAGAATGGTCAAACCACACTCTTGGAAAGGGGGGACACCATGGCCAGCAATAGGGGCAGGCAGTCAGCAAAGGACTCTTTCAATTAAAACATTGAGGTTCTTTGTTAAATCTTTACCTTTAAATTGACAATCACTTTAAATGAAATAAAAAACGGAATAAGACATCAATAGATTACAAGATATTTGACAGTCAAATAGTTACTCTACAATGCTCAATCAATACATTTATACTGTTTTAATTAGTAAGCCAATTCCCGCATCATCACACATTCACATGTATTGTTAGTTTCAAATCCATCACATGGAAACCCAAGATATTTGAAGAAGTCATTGGTGGCTCTGGTGCACACAGATTTAATCACGTTATGACACCTCCTCCCACGCCTGCTGTTCTTTTCTGAGTAGAAGCTGTGAAGTGATGTATAGCAAAGCAATTCAAAACCAAATTACTGCTCTATCCAGAAACTCAGATGTACTCACAGGCTAAGAGACCACTAGAAACCTAGAAGGCTCACTCAAGCCAGAACAATAGTGAAATGTGGACGGGTGGGAGTGTCTCAACGATCAAAACAAAGAAAATGAGGTCAGCGGCTTAGCAGGAATAATTCCCCTTTGGTTCTCAAAGAACGATCTAGAGGTATCGGGGATACACCTACCAGACACAAGGACCAGATATTGGTCAAATCCTGATTTGAAAAGCTTAATCAGACCGTCATAACATGCCAAATTGTGGTTAAACTGTTAAATGTTCACTTTAGACAGCAGAGCAGCGCCATTTTCTTTCTTAGGTTCCACCTTGCCTGTTTCCAGCTTTCCATCACAGAAAGAAAGATGCCGCCATCTGTCAGGGACTGCATCGCAGAAGCAACTGTTAAGTAGTACATGAGTAAGATTTCCCCAATTCAAAAACACCACTAGAAACCAGGAATGCTCATTGAGATTGCAACAAAGGTGAACTGTGATGAAACTACTGTGAAGGTGTGACCCAGAAACGAAAATTGAATTAATAGAGAACAAACCAGCTTCACCTCACTCCACCCAATTCTAAGAACCAGCTACAGAAAAACCACCTCTCTCAGTTTCCACCATGAAGTTATGATATAAACTGAATGCACTTTAGCCACCAAGGACCAGTTCTGCCCCCCATGAAATTTAAGAATTCCCTGAAATAAATGAGATTTCTTATAAATTATTATTCACGTGAAATACGGGTAATACACCGCTGGACACTTACTCCGCCCTCCTCCTCCTCCTCCACCTCCTCCACCACCTCCTCCTCCACCACCACCACCACCATAGCCTCCATCACGACGTGGTCCCCTGGTGTGCTCCACAATGACCCTCTCTCCACACAGCTCTTTGCCGTTTAGGTCATATACTGCATCATCAGCATCACGGGGGTCATCGAATTCAACGAACCCATACCTACAGATGGAAATAAAACATGTTTAAATAAAAAGAAGAAAGGACTTTACAGCAGAGTTGCAGCAATGTAACAAGTTTACTGATGGCAGCAGGTAACTGAGCAGGAAAAAAAATATTATTGTCTTTTAAATCCAACATTTTACATGTTTTACTGTTATCTGTGTTTTATGACATAATACTTTATGCAAATTTTTACTTAAGTTTTGCTCCTGTTTAGTTTTTTTTACTGACAAGTTGTGTGTGTGTTGTTGTTTTTTAACTTGGATGATTTATTTTATTTTAGTAATATAAATTTTAACCTTTTTCCTATTGTGTTTTTCTAAACATTTTCATGTTATCACCCTTTTTATATGTTTTTTTTATGTTTTTATATATTATTATTGAATTACTACATTTTATTAAGCTATTCGACTTCCTTGAACCAATTTTTTATTATACCTCTCATTTAATATTGTTGGCTGTTGTAACGCATACATTTCTCAATACACCATTTTACTTCCTCAAATGTGAACAAATACAAATTTATTTGTTGTGCATTTTTGTAAATTTTATATCTCAGCCATCAGTGGGTATTTTTCCACAGCTTTGTGACACATACAGACCAAGTAATCGAACTTTACAGACTATTCAATCGTATTATAGAGACAATAAAACCATCCGGTTGGAGCCTTAGATTTTAGCGGCCCTACACGTTAATTTGTTCAGATTAGCGCCAGTACGACTGCAAAGAGATATTTAACGTAAAGGAAGGCTATGCATACGGTTGAAACTATTCCCCTTCCAGTTTCATATTGCGTTAAAAATATAACGGTGGGTGAAGTTACAGCTGCAGCAGACCGTTTGCTTGTAATGCACACAGCCGCCTTTGACTTTGCCACGTCCAACATTAGCTCGCTAGCGATTTGGCGCTAACGCAAACAATAACCAACAATAAAGATGGGAAAATTTAGCTTGACCTTTACATCCTTTACATCGATAAAACAAGCACTCGTGTAAAACGAAGGCGTACTTTAGGGGAAAAAAAAACACGCGTAATAACGGGAAAAGCGAAATTTGGTGTAGAGTAGCTATATTAGCATTAGCAAGTCTGACCCGCTTTGGATTCAACAAGGCCGTACGCGGCCCTTCAAGCACCAATTTCCATGTTAAACACGATTAATTCACAGCATCGTTACCCGTTTTTCAAGTCGACTTCGAGTATCTTCCCGTAGCCTTTAAAGAACCTCTCTACGTCCTTCTCTCTGGCTCTGTAGCTCAACCTTCCGATATACACCCGCGACATGCTGCTGCCTCTTCCGAGCGTGCTGCCGAAACGACAAACCCGACAACAACCAAGCGGCTACAGCGCAGGCGTGAGACTGCCGCCATACATAAGGCCCTCCTTTGAGATGATAGGCCACGACTAAAAGGGGGGTTGTCTTAGTTTTTTTAACTTTAGTTTTTAGAAAATATATCGTGCGATTAGGCTATTTTAAGAATGAATGAAAATAACTTTTTACAGTTAGACCAGAGCCACCGTTGGATAGGAGTTTCCATTCCTAGTTATCACAGACATTGTGGGGTTATTATTGAACCAGAACTATTTGTGCGAATGTCTATCTCAGTTTTTGTGTGCATATTAAAATCTGTGTGTGACTATTCAGATCACTGTGTATGTAATCGGATTTCTAAGTACGCAAATAAACCTACAAGCATACACAGCTATGACAAGCTTTGTTTAAAACACTGAAACTATCGGGTGCAATTCACGCAAAGGTACAACAGTGGGAGATCGGCCAGTTAAGGATTTGCGACAAGACGCACTCCTTGATGGTACCGGACTACAAACAACAAATAGACATTAAAAGCGTAGTTAAACAACTACAGAAACTTTGTGAGAGTGTATAAGAAACAAGTATTTTTGTGGCCTAAGAGTACTGCAATTAGGAGGCCGTTGCTGGAAATTCGTCGAAACTGCTAGCCTCATGCCTGAAATAAAAATGGTGAATGTCGGAAAGCGGTGACTGTTGTGATGCGTTTAAAACCTGCATGAGCCGCGGTGGGCGTGGCCAACAATCACACAAACACACCCGTTCTTCTCTTTGGAAGTATTTTTTAGTTTTTAAACGTAATTTATTTGTCTTGGGGCGTAACATTAATTTACTGGAGCTCAAAATGTCAAACCCTCTGCAACTTCTCTTCATTGTGGTGAAGAAGACTGTGGAGCCACTTTGGGAGGAAAATAACGGTACACGACGTTAGCTGAAGGTTAGCTTCTCAGAAACAGGTAGCTCGAGTGGACAGCTAGCTGCTGAGAGAGGGAGGCTCAGCCATGGAGCGCGGAACTTTTTCAAAGTACTCCTGGACCGACTTCGTCTTCTCCGTGATCGGAGTGTGCACTTTTCTCGTAGACTGGGGCTCCGATGTTTGGGTGGCCACTGAGTTTTACTGCCGAGGAGACTTCTTCTGGTTCGGAGTCCTGGTTGGCCTCATGGTCCTGTCGTCCGTCGTGGTCCAGATGTTCAGCTGGTTCTGGTTCAAGTACGACCGAGAGCTGCCGGGCTTCAGCGAACACACTGGGGCGAAAAGCGTGCTCTTCGGGGACAGAGTGAAGTTGTCTTGCCTGCTGCATGTTCTACAACTGGGCTTCCTCTTTAGGTAAACCCGCAGGTGCTTTAACGCAGAGTTCCCAACTCTCAGCTGTCACCGTAAGGAGAAGACTAAATGGCAGGATTTTATGGAAGTGTGGCAAGGTTAAAGCAGTTTTATTTTAGCTTTAACACTAGGTTTTTCATGTTTGAACAGCAACAGTGCACAGTCCATAAATTTAAAACTGAAATAAAATTTTAATTTGATAAACATCGGGGTAATGCAGCTGCTTGATTGTTCGGATGCGCGTCTTCTCCTTTTGAGTTTAAGACTCGTATTAAAACATATTTATTTGCTGAAGCCTCTGGCACCTTTTGAAAGGTTGGCTCTATTTTTCTGTTTTCTCTAATTCTCTATTTTTTTAATGTTTGATTTTATTTTCTGTTTATGCTATTTTATATGTACAGCACTTTGTGAACCCCGGTTTATTTTAAAGTGCTTTATGAATAAAGGTGTTATGGTATAGTAGTACCTGTTTTGAACATTTTAAAGTTTGGCAATGATAAATAAACTCAGGGTGCTAATAATTTAAAACAGTAAAACATCCCGGGTTTTAGCTTTAGGAACTAAGTAAATGTAAAACACATCTGTTAAGTGTTAGTAAGGTCATTTCATGTAATCACTCCGAATTCATCACTGAATCTGTTTCTCAATAAGTGTTTCAACAGCAGCTAAGGCCTCTGCCTGTTTGTTGTGAAAGTTTCATTAGCATAGCTTTTTCACTTTCTTTATTTTCTAATCAAAAATGAAACCATATATTTTTCTTTAAAACACCTCAAGCCATGTACAAATGTCAGTGTCAGGTGTGGTAAGTTGTAAATCCAGTAAGTCTGAGCACAACTGACTGCATAAAAATGAATTAATGAGGTATGAAAAGCTCAGTCACACTGTTTTTGACCTCTCCTAATGAATCACACCCGATTATTTCCATGAGTTTGGTTTGTTCATTGCTGTGTCATTTTCTCACGCTGCTCTCCCATCCGCACTCAGACACATCTCCGCCATACGTCAGGGCTTTAGAGTCTGGTGGAGGAAAGAGGAAGGGTCAGAGTATGCCGTTTACCTGACACATGACCTGAGCATGCTCCGTCTTATCGAGACCTTCTGTGAGAGCGCACCTCAGCTCACCCTGATGATCCACGTCATACTTCGCACCAACAAGGCCAGGACAGTTCAGTGTGAGTTCTCTCTCTGTGAACAGCAAGCAAACATCACAGTTGTGCACTTGTTCACTTCCTCTTGGTTTGACTTCTGTTTTTCAGTTGTAAGTATTGCTGCTTCAACCACCTCCATAGCCTGGATGGTAGTGGATTACCACCGCTGCCTGCGTGCCTTCCTCATAGACAAAGCCAAGCAGGGATGGGGGTCCTCCTTAATCTATTTCCTGTGGAATCTGCTGCTAATCGCTCCACGGGTGGTGGCGCTCGCCCTGTTCTCCTCTGTCCTTCCTGGATACATCGCCGCCCATTTTCTGATGCTGTGGTTCGTCTTTGTGCTGTGGGCGTGGCAACAGAGGACAAACTTCATGGACAGCGTGGGTGGGGAGTGGCTGTACCGGTCCACCGTGGGGCTCATCTGGTACTTCAGCTGGTTTAATGTGGCTGAGGGTCAGACCCGTGGCAGGAGCCTAATCTACCATTCCTTCATGACCATAGATGGGGTGATCCTGCTGGTGACCTGGTGGTGCTACAGAGACCTGGTCCAGACTGATGCGTTTGTCCTCCCACTTCTCATCTCTCTACCTCTCACTTACCTCCTGGGGCTGCTTTTTAAAACTCTGTACTACTGCTGTTTCCACCCTAAACTGTGGAGACCCCTGGGGAGGGAGCCTGGACTGCCCAGTGATCTGCCTGATGCAGAAGTGTCCTTTAGAGACTTTTCCATCCAGGACAGCACCCCGTCCTCTACACTTGTCAACAAACGCATGGCCTGCCACGCCACTAATTTTTACACAGATCAAAGAGTCCTCCGAAACCCTCACGGCACAAATGGTGCCGAGCCCCCTCGTCTGTGATGTCTGGCTTTTTACTGAATGAAGCATCTGTTTCTGTTTCTCAGATTTGTGCTGCAGTTTTTTTCTGCAGGCTTGGTGCACTAAAATAGTTTTCCAATGTGCACTAAAACTCTGAAGTTTTCCCAGCCAAAGTGCACTTAAGAACATAAATGATTGACAAATTAAGATCAGACATTAGCTGGTCTCCAACTTGTAGCTTCATAGTCCAATGTGCACATAGGACAATATCACCTCTGCAAATGCGAATATTCCCACTAGTGCAAACATGTCTGAAGTGAACCATTCCCTTCTGTGGCTTCAAAGTACAGATTCTAAAATCGTACATGAAACAAGAAACTTGCAATAATAAACTTGTATTTACACTAAGTGTACTTTTACATTCAAGCATAAATATACAGACAGTGTTTATACTGTAATAAAGGGGATTTCTGGATACATTTTTAACTGAAGTGTCAAATGAAATACCTGATGAGCACTCAGCTCAGTCCAGTGTTTACACAAAGATGCTCCCACAGTGGCTTCTTACAACCACAAATACTGTACTGTAACTATACAAACACTAGTCAGCCACAACATTAACACCACTTGCCTAATTATGTGTACATCCTCTCATGCTGTCAAAGCCTCTCAGACCTGCTGGGTTACCAACACAGGAGCTGTGAGAGCGTTTTGTGGTTGGTAGGTTTATGGGTGTTCTCAGCAAATACAAAATCTGCTAAAGGTTTTAGTGTTGTGGCTAATGTATAAATTACGTTAGAAAAAAAATTGCATACAGCTTTAATTTTTCATTCTGTTTGAAGCAGGAATAGTTTGATAAGCTAAACCAAATCTGTTTGTGTGCTTTTTAATTGTGTTTTATTACTCCAGCCTGTTAGTAGCCTAAATATTACTGTTAAGTGTGAGCAGAAAGACCGTTTTTCTATATAGGTGTTATAGTTCAGTTCACTTTAGGATTTCTAGAAATAGATTTAGAATAGAATTGTATTTATTCAGTATGTAATTATAAAAACTAAGCTATAAATGGTTTAATAAAGAGACTTGGTTAAAGAGTAAAATAAAAACAGCTATCTTACATTTGTACATTGTTTCTAGTGGGTTTTCTTTTTTACTAAAAGTGTGGGAGATCTGGATTTTCCCTCTAAATTGGAATTTGTTTTTGAAACACTGCAAAACTTGTTTCTGAGGTTTTAAATTACCTTTGTTGTCGTGTGTGTGTTTTATTTTATCTTGTTAGAGTTGCTGCTGGAACCTTTTTGAATGTAAATTTCACTGTAAGTTCGTTCGTTCATAGTTTCTTTTCAAAAGCTGGTCAAGTGTTTTAAATCCACTAGCTTGGTTTCTCCTTTTTTCTTTTGTGTTGTAAAGCAAGTTCAGCTAACCTGCTGATTTGTCACAGACACGAATGTTTTAGATATTTCTCTGCATTTAGCTGCCAAATCTAGTGTTATTGTCGCTCATCCATCCACTATCTGTTTAGCTTGTTCAAATATGTCATGTGCCAAAATACTTTTACTTTAGTATACATGCAGAGCTGAAAGCACATCCATCTCCCAGCTTTTTCAGTAAACCTGCCTCCACATCATCATTTACATCATTTACAATATGTTGAAACTCTGTTCTGTAAAAGAGTTGATAGTGTTTGGAGCCACTTTTTGGCATGCTGTCAGCTGGTATGAAAGGTTAAGGGGATTACTTCCTGTTAAACATTTACCTCATCTGTCCCGTGCAATTATTAAAGTAGTACCTAAGTTAAGTCACTTCTTTTTGTTTTTGTGTCTTTCTGCAAACCCAGATTACGAGCATCCGCACATCTTTTTACTGTAAATCATTGGCTTACAGTAAAAAGATCTGGGCTTCCCCTTTAGGTAAACCAGTGGGTGCATTAATGCAGGGCTCCCACCTCACAGCTGTCAACCTGTGCCAGGTAAGGAGAAGGCTAAAGGGCAGGATTTCTGGATGATGCTTAAAATATCCAGAAAGGAATTTCAGTTTCAGTCTTTCTGACAGTCATCCAAAGACGATGTTTACTGTTAGCGGGATATTCGCCAGCAGGAGGTGTGTATGTGTGTGAATTAACACAATGTGCCTTTAAGATAAGTTTCAGGACACGGGCTGGTTGGTAGGAGGGGTTTTGAAACTCTCAAATCTTGAGTTTACTTTCGTTATCTGTCTATATAAGTTGTCTTTCAGCTCATGCATCACATGCAGCTGTGTTAGAGGCACGCAGAGAGACGGGTGAACATGTCAGGCACTCAGGCTAACTTTAAATACTCCTGCTGGGACTTCCTCTTCACTTGTGTGGGCCTGCCGCTGTACCTGGTTGACATAGGGCTGGATATATGGACCGCTGTGTCCTTCTATAAGGAAAAGGCCTACGTGTGCCTTGCTGTTCTGCTGTTTCTGCTCCTGGTCTCGTCACTGCTCACTCAGGCTTACAGCTGGCTTTGGTATAGCTATGACGAGTTCAGGATGAAGACAAAGGTCGAGGGCTGGCCTACCAAGAGGCTGCTCAAACTGCTGCATGTTTTCCAGCTGGGCATCTACTTCAGGTAGTATTAAATTAATAAAGCGTGTTTAAAGTGCCTGTAGTGCAAGAACTCCATCAGGTTCGTGCATTAAACCACAAGAGTACAGATTTCATCATCTGTAGTGCTGTGGTTCTGTCAGTTTCATTTTATCTTATTTTTGAACTATTATGTGAAAATCAGCATTTATAACTTCCCGAATTCCCGAGTCATGCTTTAATTTCCTCTGTTTCACAAGATAAGCTACATTTTGTTTTCTTTCCTTCACTGTGTGTCGGGCAAACTGATTTTATTTGCTCACTTGCTTCCATAACAAGAATGCTTTCAGGAAAATTCAACTAGGCGTGTTTGACATTTGGATTTGCTTTACCTGGTTGTGACTCATTTATTATATTTTGGCTCTCAGGCACGCAGGAGTCCTGGAAAAGGCTGTAGAAAGCTTCCGCACAAAGCTCCCTGACCCTGAGGGTGTAGCTGTGTTTCTGAGCCACGATCTGAGTATGTTGCGAATCGTAGAGACGTTTTCAGAGAGCGCCCCGCAGCTCACACTCATGCTCACCATCATTCTGCAGCAGGGCCATCTGGATCCTGTTACAGGTACAGTTCATTACTCGAGTTAAAGTCATGTATGTTTTGGGCAGAAATAGTGACACTGTAAAATAAATTCTTAATGAAAAACTAAATGGGGAGGCTCATTGATACTTTAAAGTAAGTTTAAAGTCTTCAGATTATCAAAGATCAGCTCACCCATATTCACTTCAACTAAGCCGAAAGTATTTTTATGCTAGCAGTGTACTTTCTTAGACATAGAGTATGCACTTTTTGTACACAGTACAAATACAATATGCACAATACAAAAGTATTCAGCCACAGATCTTTGATCTCAGTGCCACCGTGTACAAAATAATTAAGGTAGCTAGCCACGCTGTCAAAAACATTTTTAAAAGAATGCTTTGTTCTAAAGAGCTCACTCAATTCAAGTGTGGTGCTGTAATATGAAGCCATAGTTCAGTAACCATTCAGTTTGTGAAATGTCTCCCCTCCCAGATATTCCTTTATCATCTGTAAGTGAAATTACTCCAACTTCAGTGTTTAGGAACCTCAGCAACCTGGACAGGAAGTGGCAGACCACATAAAGTTACACAACAGGGTCACCACGCGCTGAAACATTTGCCGGCGCTCGGTTAAAAGATTCAAAAACAAAGCCATGTTTATTGTACTTACATGTTTTTGTTTAAAGTATTATTCCTGATTAATTTCTGCCACACGCACAAACAACTGATAAGAGTGAGAGACCAAAAACATTTATTTGGCCTAGGACGATTAGCCAAATCCAAACAAATACAGACACATGTTCTTCTGTGCCACAGTTTTAAAAAGTTTTTAAAAAAAGTAATGTAATTTGTGTCCTTTGTAACTCCAGCTACCGATCACATGCATATCTAAAAATGTCTTGTGCAGGAAAATCCCTAACCATTAAAAGGAACAATGCTTGAAGAGGAACCCAAGACAGGTCATTGCCTTCCACATGACCCTCACAGAATCAGCTGATTTCCTTGTATAAGAACTCTGATATATTTGTTGAAATCATGCAAAACTTTACCTTCATACTACGAATGCTTTGTGAGTTACAGGCTGGTGAAGTACATGGGAGTGGTTTTAAATGTGATGTTGTTGATCTTCGATAACTCTTAAATACAGGCGATATCCATGTGAATTATTCAGCGCTGAAAAACATGTTTGAGCTCAAATCAATTTTACACCCACTTCAAATGTTACAAATTGAAAGCAGATTTTTTTAAATAACCACTAATCTAATGGCATAAACCAGTGTTTCAATCACAAACCTGGACCGGTTTAATATCTGTGATGCTTGGGATGCATGGGATCCTTGTTCTTCTTCCTGATCATCCAGTTGGGAAAACTTAACAAAGTGCTTTTTAGGTTATTTTTATGTGAGTGATGGGGCCTGATCCAAACAGTTCTACCATATCAAAGGTCTGATTTTTATCTGCATTTTGAAGCCAACATTTTCAAATGTGTTTTTTCAGACCTAAAATTTTCATATGTGACTCTGTTGAAAGCTGAGGCCTATGCTAGACTTTTGCACTTTTGCACAACCTGAACCTAAAATTTCTCTAAATATACATTATACGTTATGATACATTAAAAGTCTGCTGATTCTGGGACCAGTTTGCTTGTCTTTATGTGGAGTGGCACACTTCACAACATTTCTCTTTGCTTGTTCTGACGCTGCCTCTCGTTCTCCCTCAGTTCTGAAAGCCGTCGGCTCGGCCTCGGCTATCGCCTGCACTGTGACGACCTACCATCGCTCGCTGCTCTCCTTCCTGCCTGCCAAAGAAAACCAGAAGATAACCTCATCAGTCATCTACTTCATCTGGAACCTGGTTCTCATCTCTTCCCGTCTCACTGCTCTCGCTCTTTTCGCCTCCGTGCTGCCCTGCTTCATCTTCGCCCACTTCATCTGCTCTTGGTTGGTTTTATTCTTCTTTGCTTGGCGATCCAAGACGGACTTCATGGAAAGTCCTTGTGGAGAATGGCTTTATCGAGCCACTGTTGGCATCATTTGGTATTTCGACTGGTTTAATGTGGCTGAGGGGAAGACGCGGTACAGGACTGTGCTCTATCACGGGTATATGCTGACTGATATTTGCATCCTCTGTGCTGTGTGGTGCTGGAAGATGAGCACAGATCCTCCTGATTTTGTGATAGAGCCCATGTACGCTTTAATCACAGCTGCCTGTGTTATTGCAGTTTACGTCCTCGGTCTAATACTTAAAATTATTTATTATAAAGTCTTCCATCCAAACCCTGACAAAGATGAGCTTAAAGGGGCCAGCACAGAGCAGCAACCTGAAGGTGAACTGGGACTTTGTATGTGTGCAGCCACAGCAAACGTGGCAGCTCATCATCCGCCCGCCCCATCAGCACACTGCAATAAAAGAATGAGGAAGCTGGCCGAGAACTTTTACTCCTGATGTGCACTTGATATCCACAGGACGACTGGAAAGAGACCGAGTCATGTAGAATGTTTTATTTGAGATCACTTGGCTGTGTTTTCTAGGACTCTGACCTTTTGTCTGTTTTTGCCACAGATATAATGTCTCAAGGCATTACTCATCTTAATGTGGAGATGAATTTGAATATGCACTTTCTGCTGTGCATTAAATCATTTCACTGTGTGTCAAAACATTTCAACATATCAGTCGTAAATTAAAGGGTAAACGAGGTGGAAAATGAGAGGCTTTAATTATCAAATCTGTATTAAATAATTGTTGTTTACATGTGAAGAGATCCTTTTTCAAAGGCCCTTTCACTGGATCATCTTTTCTAAAGAATGTAACAGGTTAAAATTATTGTCAGCAGTGACTGAGTCTGCCATCCCTCCTCCCAGACAAGAAGGTTTCTACGAATGTCCACGTAATCAGTCTCACTGTGCTTAGCACTGGATTAAGTTGCTGCTACCATAAACTGAGGAGGCGTGTCAACAAAAAAACAGACATTTATAGCAATTTTTCCTCTTCACACAGTTAGCTGGTAGATGGCAGGTGTCTGACTGTGGGGTAACCTGCTGTATATGTCTTGTTGTCACATCAACATGTGGACATGCAATGAAAATATTCCTTACCCATGTGAGTAAAGGGGCTCTGTAGCTTCATGATTAGTGTGCGTTTGTTCCGGTTTTTCTTACTTCACTTTGATTTGTGCACGGCTGCAGGTGAGGCTGACACAGCGGAGCTCAATGAGCTCATCACACCTCCACAGCATAAGACGTGCCGGGACCTGAGGTTGTGTTGTTGTGTGTGTGTGTGTGTGTGTGTAGCCGGCAGCTGAAAAGCTCTGGCCGAGAGTTCCTGGACATCCAAGCCAAATGTTTATCACTTGAAGAATCAGACTCCTTTTGAACATTATGTTGATGCTAAATATGTATGTAAATATGGTGTCTGTATATATACAGCACAACTGCTGCTGATGTGTCAAGATGATAAGCGAGCATCCGGCAGTGAAGGGAAGTACCTGTTGGGAAGACGAAGACAATGTTCTTTTTAAACTGTGTTAAAAGTTATTGTGGTTTTGATCTGACCTATGTATGAAATGGATCTGACGTTGAGGGAGTGTCATTAAATTTAAGCCCTGATGGTATAAAATATCTGTTTATGCTTTGATTAAGTCGAAGATCATCAATTGCTGTCTGCGTACGCAGTGATCTTCCCACGCGTGCATTAAATCATTGTTTGACTTCACCCGGCCGGATCAGTGTGGTTATTCTTCGATTTACCTCTTGTACCCTTCCTCAATATTGAACCCTTAACAATGGCCTATATTTGTGACTGTGTTTCTTTTGTAGTTTATTCCTATATGAATATTAAAAACTTGACTCAAAGTATTAAAAATGTATTTACATTGCTTTACAGAAAAAGGGAAAAATCATAGGACTGTGGGGGAAAGAGTGATTACCTCAGTTAAATAACCAGTGTTGACTATATTAGGTTCAGCTTTAAGGACCTCTGCATGTCTCCAAATGGCTTTGAATGTCTTTGAAATGAGAATATTACAAATAGAAAAAAAGAAAAGTGGACATCTGAACATTTCCACTAAACTTTACATTTGTGAAAATGACATTGGTTGTATTTATGAGGTTTCTACACAACACTTAAGCTTTAAATAATGTGCATTAAGTTTGTGTTGTTGTTATTGTTTTGAACCACTCGAATGCAAATCCAAACTCTGACATGAATGTTTTCTCCTTTTTTACAAAAGATGTTAGTTGTGAGTTCAGCTTAAATCACTTCTTTTTCTTCTATGATGTTTTGTGTCTTTATTTCCACATAAACTGATGAAGCAGTAGTGATGGACTGCCTGACAGATGAGGTCAGCAGGAGTCTCTGTGAACTGTGATGTTTGTTGATGACACTGTGATATGTAGTGAGAGGAGGGAGCAGGTGAGGTGGAGGTGTGCTCTGGAGAGAAGATACAGCTTCACTGCAACTGTGAAAACTTTGACATGAAGTCAGAGGTTCAGGACCAAACCACAGTAACTCCAGCAGCTGAGTCTGCTGCAATAAACCATCTACAGATTACATCATCGGTTTCACGTCTCCTTGTTGTAAAATATGCCTGCGTGTAGACTCATTTAAGAACTGGGAAAATGTTGATGCATGAGTCAAGTCTCAGTCTCCTGACTTACAATAACAAAAGTTTTCTTTCATTTGTTGTAACTGAATTTATTTGCTCCTTCTTGTGTGTGACAAAAATGCTGTTTTCCAGAGAAGCTGGTTATGTTTCATAATCGTTTGGCTCTCAGTCACAGAGGATTCACGGAAAACAAGAGAAACACACAGAGCTTCTACACAAAGTCAGTAAGAGTGTGTCCAGATTCCTGAACCATGATGTCCGCATGTTATGAATGTTCGTGGCAGTGCTCCATGGCTTATGTCATGTGCATGCTCACCATTTTTCCTTCAGCTGGATCCTGTGACAAGAGTTCATTACTCAAGCTAGGTCATGCAGATTTAGGCAAAAATTACGAGTGACCACACGTGATGAAATCTTGGATGCAGTACTACTACGACTCCAATAATAATAATCATTATAATAATTTGGGTTTAGAGCCCTCATAAATATAAATACTGAAGTACAGGAGATGACCATGTGAATTTATACTCCGTCAGTATCAGAACAGAGCAACCAGAAGTTAACTTTGACTTCTGCATGTCAGAACGTACAACATACGTTGTGCACCGCAATGAGGAAGCTGGTTTAGAGCTATTACTCCTGATCTGCATCATTTGACATCCACAGGAGTCATGCTATACCACAAATTTTAAATTTAGATCACAGGGTTGTGTAGGATTAAGGACTTGGACTTGCATCCTGATTAACCACAGTTCCAGTCTCATATTACTCAGCCTAATGTGGACATAAAGTCTCATCTGCACTGTCTGCTCTGGAGAAGCATGACTGTATGAAATTGATGTTTGAGGGCTGAGAGGAAAGACTTCTTTGAAAGATATTTTAATGGATCTCTAAATAAAATAAGTGTGAAATTGGTGTAAAAAGCATGTTGACGAATGTGTTATTGTTTAAGGTAAAAGAGAAAAAGAGGAAAAAACCCGTATTATTGGTAAACCTGTTCAAAGAATATTGCACTGTTACTGGGCTGTACTTTATTGAAGCGTAATACATTCACTAAATAAAGGTTAAACGAGCTGCAAGGATACCAAGCTTCCCTTGTTTTTTCAAATGTATGTGAGCTCTGTTTATTTTCTCTGTTTCACTTTTGTAATTTTTCCTTAGAAGAGACTAATAATTAAAGAGGAAACAAATATTCTTTTTACCCCAGGACTGATATAC